CTGATTTGTCCAGGCTTCAAAAAGGTGTCCCTATTAAGATTGAAGAGAGTATTTCTTAATACCTCAGTTAGTCAGAAAATTATATCTCCGAGTGCTGGCAATTTTTAGTAAGATATTACTATAACTTTGCTAGGCTAGTGAATGGGAAAGCGACAGAACAAAGAGATTTGCACGTACATTGCGGAGTACTATCGACATGGACGAAAATTTTGCTGTATCGCGAAATGAACTAGTTATGGAACTAGTAAAACAAGGATCAAAATCGATAAGGATGTGTATATGGAACATGATAATTTCCTTTCTAAACATATTTATTGGGTTAAAGAAAGGGCTATTGAATCACTGGCAACAAGAAGTTGGTCGGGGAGACTTCACTTTTGAGTGAAAGTGCATGATGAAAATATTCGAATGTCGATCGTGCCAGAAGACGACGGTTAATTCTCGTTGTACTGCATTAGTTTGGCCTTAATACGACGTTCAAATTGACGCATTCCACGAGGCACTCTCTCGTTTCGGGTGAAATGGGCTGGGCTTTCGTCGATCAAATGATGGAGGGAGGATGTCTCGTGGACTGCGTCCATCTGAACTTCGTATTGGAGCCAAACTGCTGCAGTTCAACGGATATTAGTCGTAGTCTTCTGGTGAGATCGAACTTCGAATCTTTTCATCATTCACCTGCATACAAAATGAAAGTCCACCAAAAAATATTGTCTTAGGAGATTCATCTAAACCCAGTTACTCTTTGTATCTACAGTAAAAAGTTGGTTTCTAATAGACTTTTGGTGGAATAGTTAAGAAAAATTTAGTTCAGTAAAACTATCCACCAGAATAATCATTAGTATGTAATATTTAAAAAAATGGAACAGGAGCGACAGCGACAATGGGCAAGACAAGGGGCTGGACAACTCTGCACGATTTATGAGAGCACCAAGCTGTAGGCGGTGGGAAAAGATGGACTAGACAGTGAGAAAGTTGGATGTTGGGACCACACATGAAGAGAAACAACAACTTTTCAAGGTTAGGCCCTCCTTTCAAGAGTATTCAAGCCATCCCTTCGGACCGGTTTATGACAAGCTTTTATGTTCATGTGGTGTGTCTGCCCAAGCATGTACACGCCCGACAGGGTCTATGGGTCCAGATATCTTTAAGGGGGGGAGTGTGCATAGGAAAAAGAGCAGGCATTAGGGAAAAGAGAAGAGTGAAACCAAAGACTAAGCGGAGGAATAGGAGGTCTAATAAGCTTGAAGTTCGAATCGGGTTATAGCATCTCATTTGCCTCAATTGTGAGCAGTGAGCACATACACAAACACGGTACACGTCTGCTCACACACCGAAACAGGCTTCGGCAGTGCAGGTTCAAACTGCTGTTGATAGTTTCGTGGGTACGAAAGCGTCTTCACAACATTATCACCGACTTCACGCCTCTACAAGCCTGTAGGGCGACCGAATCATCGGATAATGGGTATTCGAACGCCGATTTTGGCTTCTTGTTTGGAGAAGGGCTGTTCTGAAGAGGCCTGACAACGCGGGATAAATGAAGGCTAGGCGCGGATGGATGGGGCTCGGAGGACAGTGGGCCGAGGATTTCATCGCGCAATTCAATAACCACAATTGCTAAGCAGTCTTCCTTCGATTTCCGATTAGGCGAATTCAAGAATTTATTTAGACTAACTTTTCAAACCAAAAGGCTTTAGATACAACATTTTTAAGGGAACCAGCTTATCTTTACGTACATAAAATGAAAATTAGCCAGGTTAGATCCTGATAATGCTTATAGTGATCATGCTTATAACAGAAACGGTTTCAAGGTAGCCTAAATTCTGAGGTTTTTTCTTAATAAAGAGCAGAAACTCTGCCAGAATCTTGAGTTCATGCTACAAGGCAGCATTTGGCAAGGTATTGTTTGGATAACTTTTTGATGTTGGAAATCTTAGGGTCCAAAGGGGATTAAAGTTGTCGCTTAGCTAAGTTTCAAATGTAAACTCCAACATGGAGGAGATATGAAAACCAGGTTGATGTTTAGTCGCAGTCTCCTTTCATTGCATAAACTTGGTGGCCTCGTTTGTGCAACTTGGTTGCCGTTTCTGGGGGAAACTCGAAGAGCCGTACAAATTAGGCATCTCTTCTGCCATAGCAATTATGTCTATTTCTGGCATCGAACCGATGACTAGAATACATTCCCAGACGTTTCGTCGGTATTCTCATCGATGATGGCCCACCTGACATCATAGATACAAGTAAGGTCCGTCCGTATCGCCCTTCCTCTCTCTCTTACAATTTCTACACTAGATGTGAGCTATTTTGGGGGGGCTTATTGAGGATTTGTTGCATTCCCATTCTCTCTTGTACTGGAATTGCTGATCCAAGCGGACCCTTTCAGTTTGAAAACCACTTTACACAAGAATTCAGGATAGGCAAACGTATCCGAACATAAAGTTTATAAAGTCGGTTAAGAGATGGACTTAACTTGTCGCTTCGGTGCGTTTCGACTCAGTGGTGAAATTCAGTAACAAGATCGACGATCAGATGTTGAAAATTATGACTACTCAAAAAAGGACGCATGATTGGATATATTTTTCGTATATAAGTAGAATTTCATATTTGAATATATTCCTTGAGGGAGTCATGACGCCACGACCGAGCCCAGGTAGACCAAGTAATGGTTAGCATGCAGCTGTTTGGCCTAAATAAATGAATCAATAAATACTATTCATACACAGTTCATGCTGTATCACTTACCCAGCCCTGTCAACTCAGCATTTTCAGCAAGCGCCGATTCCGAGTAGTGACGTTGTCTCATCATCGTTCCAGTCTGGCCCAGAGACGCCGTCACTATAGGACCGCCTGGAATCGACTCAAGGAGCACATCATCCCCAGGCCCGCCGGCTAGACAGCCTAATTCAGCTGAGGCATCCGAGTATAGCCGAAGGAGCTGTTCGCGTGTCGAGCCTTCGGGCGGTAATGAGGTGTCATACCCGAGGATATCGTTGATCGGGTCGCCGAACCTAGTGCCGGCTGCGTCGGCTGAATTAAGCAAATTGCGTCTATCATCAACATCATCATCATCAACAGCAGCAACATCAGCAGAAGCATCATCAGCAACAACAATGATAACAGCACCAACATCAACGTCTTCAGCTTCATACAGTCTAAAGTGGTATAATGACTTTGCCTTTCTGTTGCTACTGGTTAGCCCTAACCAGTAGCCCTAACCTAAGCCCTCAGTTTTTCTGACTTAATCATTTATACCAAATTAGTTATACAAATTACATAAAGAAACTACCTCTTAATGACAGTCTTTCGGCTCTTCTGCATTTCATATGATCGTAAAGAAGCCTGTAGCTATGGTGAAATGGCCTAGCAGAACCAGTAAAAGCATCATCTCACAATATGCCACTCTGCCACCGGAACCCACCTGATCCAGATCTGCCCAGAGAAGAAAGACTTCTGCCCGTTTGGGCTCGACCCCGACCTCGGCCCCGTCCCCGGTAGCCTGTCATCTCTCCGGTTTCCCGCCAGCCCAGACTCAAGCCCATCCGCATGGCTCCACCGTATCTGGCGAGCCCGGCCTCGGCTTCAGCTGAGGTCGCTGGGCCAAGTCGCTCAGAGGATACGTTCACCTGTTGTGTCCGGAGGCTGCGCAACTCATCAAACAGCCGTTTCTCCTGTTCAGTGAGCGCCAAACGTGCCCGATGAAGGGTCAATCGGCGCTGTTGGTCCATCGCCATTATCGCATCACTCGAAGCACCTGCGCTAACCCGGCCTAGCTGCTGGGTTGTCAGGCCTCCAGTAGCGAGGGTGGCGAGGCTGCGTGTGAGGGGCGCAGCCGGAACTTGTCTCTGCTGCTGTACCGGTTGCAATGAGATCTGTTGTTGTTGTTGTTGTTGTGCTTGCATTTGGACTTGCAGCAGTAGACGCTCCAGTTCTCCCAATTCGAGAGTGCCTAAATGAGAGCATCAGAAAATAAATCTTACAGTCGAGGTGGTCATTTCTCAGATGGGATGACCCAAAAAGGCCACACCATCTTGGTCTTCCTGTCTGAGTTATTAAGATTTACTGACCCAAGGATAAACTTGGCTGAGATTGCGTAGCCCCGCATGCCTGCTTTGGCTGATTGGCTTGACATGTCTGTTGAACTTGTCATTTAACTGACACATTGAGTCGTCCTCGTTTGGACGGCGGCTCAACAACGGAGCAAGAGAGGGACTGGGATAAGACTAGGAAAGAGGACTGCATAATAATAAAGCTTACTCTGATCAACATTCCCTCCACAAGGATGAAGGGAGGGCGTTAAAACGACAGTTGGAGTGTGAAGGCGTCATGTCTCTCAAAGGAGCACATCCCACTATATCTAAATAAACACGGTTAAAATTGTAATAGTGAAGGTATGATAGGATGAAACAGGAAACGCGAATAACCGAGGGCAGAAGTGGAGATACCACTATTGTTTAGCACACGTTTGGTCGAAGGATCGCCTTCATTTGTCTCAAATTGTTGTATGTCGCTAAGAATGGCGATACTCACTGACGATGAACCACGTCCAAGGTTCG